ATTGCAACCGGAGCAATGGCGGGTGTGGCCGTGGAGAGTTGACTGCCTTTGCTTTCCTGTTCAGTGACGATGCATAAGCATGCATGACATGAAATGGGTTACTTTAAAATAAAATATTACGCTTCACACTAATTGAATCATCCAAAACAGCCAATTAGCCAATAGGAATATGTAATATGCCCAAGAAAAATTCTGTTCCAATTTGTAAGGAGAATTTCTCTGTTTAAATACTTAAATATTTAATAGGTAACAATACTGAAATTGTGTCACTGAAATTAATTTCTTTGATCGAATGTTGCGGCCTGGAATCCGCCCTTGAATTGACGTTCACAAATATTTTAATTACAATCTTATGAGATGTACGAGAGCTGGGGTAGATGTAATGGAAACAATTTTTTCCTAAAAGAAATATTATTGTAATATTAATGTGTAATCATAACAACAGATAATTCTTTGAGTATCTCTGAGGATAGTTGTCTCAGGGCATCAAATGATGTCACTACAGTGCCTCTGAATGGAACCTAGGTTCTATGTTCGAGTTCTGACGGTGGCAGGATTTTCGACAGTAACTTGTTAGCTAGGTCGAAGTCTGTCATTGTCTGGAGGAGAATTCTAGCTGCCGGCTGTTCTGATCGGTAGTTTTCCGTGGTTTCTTCGATCATCACCAGGCGAATGCTGGAGCAGTACTCTAACAAACGGGTCACGGACCGCGCGCCTTCCTTGTCCTACCTCCACTCCTTATACACCCACTTACACTAACATGCACTATACTGCCACACATGCCGGGAGACCGATCGGGTATTTAGGCGTTTGTCCCGACTGAGGTGGTGTCCTGCTGGTGGGAGATACCTGGTTAGGGAAAACCCAGCTAGCCGACGGTAGGTCGGCTCCGGGTCTCACCATACAGCGAGAGAATGATCACCGCCATCTCCCGAGCATTCATGCACAAAACATGCATCACAATTACGGAAGTAATGACCCTGATAGTTGACGTGCCCGGAATGACTAAACAATCAATCTATTAGCACAGCAAGCAATGTGAAATCAAATGGCTACGTATCGTCGTGCGAAATGAACGTAACCCTTTCTAGCAACGCTCCTACATCAAGACAGCCGTTATCAATGACGGAAATGTCCTAGGATGTCACATGAAATTGGTGGACGCTATTCTGAGTAATGTCCTTCCATACGGCACAGCCGCCAGATAGGAGAGTTTTAGCGTGGACGCGTAGCAACCTCTGATAAGTAAAGCACATTATTAACTATCGGATCACATAAATACAATTATGATATTTGATATTTCTTTTAGAAAATAATAGTTACCATTATTACTGCTCCAACCCTGGTACAGCACACGCAGGTATTCCATTTATTAAGAAACAAAACTCAATGTGTTTAGACTATATTTGGAAGCAGTGAAATCTTCAGATAGAAGGGAAGTACGTGTTTGGGTGTTACCATCTGAGAGTAAAATTTTGTGGAACAAATGGCTACGACTCTTTATCTTATTGCAATTTTATAGTTCTAACTTCTTTTTATTTCTCATGTAATTGTTTTTACGATAAAACAAAAATACTTCGCATCTTCAGAGAACTTCGTTTCTAGATTGATTTTATTTGAAAGTCTACTCCTTCAGCAGGATTAATTGACTCATTCTATATTGTTCGGAAAATATTACAGACTACGCAAATAATGATTAATGGATCGAATGATTAATGACGACGTCAGTGAATATAATCTTCTACTGTAGTAAATTACTCAACATGCCGCGCATAGATTTCTTTCTAATTAACTGGTGTCGTTTATTCACCACACGACATTTAATCAGTGTACTTTCGCTGCAGCATGTTTCATCAAAGTGCTGTTTCAGTGCTAAAAAATGCTGACATTTTTATGCATTTATACTTTTCGCCTCCTTTCAAGATGAAAACGTACTTCAGTATCATGACATTGCGATTTGTTTGTTTGCTAATACTAAAAGGCGCATTTATCAGGTCAGAGTTCAGCATTAGCTGATTGGGCTCCTTTAATAAAAGTCCAACGGGCATCTGTAATCAATCTAAATTATTTAAACTAATTTGTAGTGTTTGTACTAATGTGTAGTGTTTGTACTATGTGTTTAGCCTTTCCTTTTATTCTAAAATTATTTTTAATCGATAGAAAAATTTGTTTAAAATTGTTGTTAACATTTTTAATAAATGACAGCCTTTCACTTTTCATAACTCGATCCAGGATCAAATATTTTACTTCAAAGAACTTTATACTCGTAGTATAACCAAATGATCGAAGTGTCTTAAAATTGAAGAAGCAATAGTCCAAAATTTTGAGTGCCATGTTCACTCTTTAGAGTAGATTACAATTAAAGTACTGCAGATGACATATTACTAAATGCTACTTCTTTTATGTCTGAAATAATTTGATCGTATCCATTGAATGGTGATATTTCTTTCATGCAGTCATCAATGTCCCTCATATACAATACCTGAAAAGAAATATCCAAGATTTATCCAAAAATTATCCAAAATTTCAAGTTCTCCTAGTGAAAACCGCCTTTGAATATCTGTTACGGTTTAGGTGATATTTGACGGGAACATGTTAGTTAATCCATTCTATACACGCTTCATTTTTGTAGAGCTGATCATGACAATTAAGCTTTCAATTATTATTAAAGATAAACGACACGAGAACAAAAATAATGATAATTAAATGCTAAGAACATGGAAAAACAAAGGGAAAATTCGTAATTTTGTTACTTCCTTGTTAATTGGAAGAAAAGGGCCTGCCATCCCAAGACGGTACAAGCTCCCGCTGTGCACTTCCGCCGTTCGATGGTCCCTTGCGGGGCTGTCCCTCGCAGAGGTGCGCTTCCGTTCTCGCGGGGTCCCACAGGGGGGGGGGGAGGGGGGCGGGAAGTTGTCGCCTGCGGGAACCACCGGTTGCTGGCAGCGCGGCGCGACGCGGCGCGGAACTCAACAAGTGGAGCGCCGCCTCCCAAGTCAGCGAGACGCCCGCACCGCACCGCACCGCGGCGCCGGCGCTCTGTTCGCGCACTAAGGGATGTAGAGCAGTGTGAAGTGACCTGCTCTTTCGAATTTTTTTACAGAATTTGCGAGTAATATAACTGAAATAATACGTTATTGTGAGCAATTAAAAAATATTCAACTTCACACTCGTAAGATATGAGGAAAAGATAACGATACGTTGTTTTTTCAGAAAATAGGCTACTACGTGCATTGTAATAATAAATTACTAGTTGAATATTGCATCGCCGATGCTGTGAACTGTTTTAAAAGTATTTTCATGAGTTGAAAGTTTCTTCCATACTTAATTTTTTATGTCTAGTACTGTTTAGATATGTTATTTCAGTATCTGGCATTGGACTTAGAAATGAATCGTAGTAGCTGTTATTGTTATACTCCCTTTTAGAAATTCCCAACATCCATTCGCCTTGTGTGTTACATCCATGCGGGATATGGTCTGAACACTTTGCAATTTCAAAATTATAAGTGCCTTAAAAAAACTTGCAGATGTATATGATGCGAAAAGGTAGAATTTGGTTCAGCTACTTTTGTTACCCTTTTTTGATAATGTGTACAAAAATTCACATGAAATATCACTTCTGAACTATTCTTAATATCCTCATTATTCTCAAATACTAATATAAGATGCCACTCAATTAGTTACGAAAATTCTTTCGCAATTTCTCCTAAAACTACATTTGATTCTTCCCCGGCTTCGCTTAATACTTTCATATTTTTGGCCTCTAATTTTGAGAAGAGATTATAACTCCACAAATTAAGTAGAATTTTTGTGTTCACTTCTACTTATGCAATGGCTTTATTAATCGTTTTGAAGGTGAATCTATATATAAATTAAAAGTTGACTAATTTATATGTTTATGTGAATAAGGTATTATTTAAGTTTAATAAGAATAAGATGTTAGTCACACTCATTTGAAAATAAGTATTTGTACACAAAAGAAGTCGAACTGGGAAGTCGAACGTAAAAACGTTGATTCATTCTTTAGCGCTACTCACAATTTTATTTCCTACGTATTCATTCGAAGTTCTTCAAATTTAATAAGTTCCATAGCAATACTTTTCTTAGGGTTTTGCATATTAATTTTTTAAGATACAGTAACATGAATGAGAATGAAATGTAATCTGCCGCGCTATTCACGTGGTTCACTTGTTCGTTTAGAGATGGCAGTAATCAACGTTGCCATCCTTGCGAAAGAAAATTATAGCGTCGTGAAGCGATTGTGCCTCTGGGTTCTAGGGGTTACTCGAAATATTTAGGTGGCATTGGTTTAATTTTCAGATAATTCACAAAGATCGCAGCACCAAAACATGCAAAAACACGTTATTTGACATTTATTTGTATATTTTCGACATATCTAGAAATAAACTATCAAAACCTATCAAAAACTAAAGACGACCGAACGCCCCCAATGACATCTCATATGTCTGGATAGGTGGACGGGAAGAGATTTAATCGGGAATGACTGATCCGCACCTACATATACACGCACATACGCACACACTCGCTGTTACTCAAATACTTTCTATTGGTTAGTAGCGGGTTATTAATTTCAATCATAATTTAAAATTCAGTAAAATGTTTTTTCGGCATATTCACTATGTAAGAATTATAAAAGTATCGTCATTCAGCAAGCAAAATTTGGGATATAAATTTAAAATTAACATATATTTGTTTAGCTCTAGTAAGTTTTTTTCTCAAAACTATTCAGATATGACAACAATATTAATGCTAAATATGAAATCATATTTTCTTGGCTGTGATTAACAAATAAATCAAACGCAGCTTTATCTAGACAGCCAAGTTCTTTAAATTATACACCAAACTATTATTCCAACATTCATGTAATTTTTGAAGCGATTCATTATTTTGATTAAATGGACTGCTAATGAAATTTCAATGAAAATTTGGAATAAATAGTTAAAGAACTCTTTTATCAATTTATAATGAAAATTCATAACTACATTGGATAATGAATAATTAGTATGAACATCTTGGGGGTTACTTTAAAAAAAATAGAGTAATTCTGTGAAAACAAAAAAGATCCTTCGTTGCATAATTTTCATGTTGATGAAATATTTAGTACATGCTTCGACTTTTAAGTAGGTCATGAATAAGCAATGCAATATAATCTGGATGTGTAACATGAAATTTATTTGTATCATATATCTTACAGATCTTCATAACATAAAAATACAAAAAGTATGGAATGACGTAGTGTATTGAACAATGAAACTGATAAATGCGAATATTTTGCGTGTCAATAATGATAAAACTGTTAGTACTCTTATATTAAATGTCTAGATTTATCAACTATTGTTTAAATGTTCGCATTTATTTCATTTGTTTTTGTTTCCAGTTAGTAAAATTTTGTAGCGTTTAATATCTCGACTGGGACTGAGTTTGATCACGATATTGGTCGGATCTTGGGGAACCTGGTAAGCATCTGTCTTTAAACTGGCATACGAAAGCGTATTTGTTTTGGCAGTTGCCATCCCAATAATATCCTTTATCGTTGCTCAACACACAGTGCTCAACTTTCTTGTGATTATTGGGCTCGCCCTTCTGCCATCTGAACCATTGACGTTGTCCAAACGTTGTTCCTAAAAAAAAAGAAAGCTTCATGAAATAGTGTTGTAGCTACCATCTAAAACAAAACCACTTAATTTGGAAGTCATATAATTTACGTTTGTCACAAAATACATTAAGAAATAGTCCATTGTTAATGTTCTTATATGTAGTTCTTTCGAAATCGACTTAAGAACCAATATTTTAACGCATTTGCTTCCTAATGCAGCCGAATTGACAATGAAGTGTCTCTTGATATTAGACTCCCGGAGAAGATACATATGATCTCTGACAGGCAGGTTGCGTTGTATTTACTTTCACTGGTCAAAATTGATTTGTCTTTCGTATTTGAGGATTTTTTCATGAAAACAATAATTTAATTTTTTCATGAATTGCATCATCTTCTATCTTAGAGAAGTAGGTGTTAAACTGTAGGTATAGGACCATAATTTATCTTAACCCAATTCATGCATTTGTAAACTACGTATCATGATGTAGAATATATTTCATTAGCAGAAAAGATACCGATCCTTTTGTATATTCTGTATAGTGTTAATCATTTTCTCAAAAATTATAAGACTAAAAATAAAAATACAAGCATAGGTGATCGACAATGGCAAGATAAATGGTTTACTTAAGATGTCTCTGATATGATGTTTGACGTTTCCAATATTTATAGGAAAAGTAAGTATCTGAGTACTCAAGCCAAGAAATCAAGAGACAGGTCGCAGAGGGACAGACCCAGAAAACACATCGTAGGGTAATTAGCTCCGTGGAAGGTGCTCACCTAAGAGTGTGACGAAGGAGTTCTCCTTGTGCACGTCGCTGGCGCCGATGAAGAAGAGGTCCTTGTCCGTGGACTTCTTCACCTGGTTCTTCACCTTGCCGTAGAACTCGCCGACGGTGAGTGCCTCTCGCTCGTCAGTGGGCACGACGAGCTGCGCTCCGTCGGCGAAGCACGTCATCAGCGCCTCCGGCCACGTGACCGGCGTCAGGAACACCTGCGAGACACACGCAGCACGTGATGCACCCTCTGCATGCTACTAAATCATTCTTTTTGACCGGGGCTACCTTCTGGTTTTGGCTGATCTCATATAAATAAATATGGATTTTATTGTTGGCTATCTCGGTCGGGACAACCTGCTGGTTGCCATCTATCGCCTCCTGAGTGCCCTACCAGGATACTATGCGGTCCCTATCGCTGTTGTTGAAATCTTCTGCAGTAAGGAGCTCTCCCGTGCTCCGAGAACAACAGACCGATGTAGCTCTAAGACCCAACATGCTCTTGTGACTAACATGCTCAGGTAGATCGAGGACTCACGTTGGCGCTTTCAACATTGTTTTGGGTGTAGGGTGCCTGCTCTTCATTCACACACTATGCGTTACGCACACACAGATCTCTCATATACTCACACACGCATATTTACCAGTGAGTATAAGGGTTTCAGGTAGGATTGAGGTACTAAAGGTGCTAAGTGAGATATTGGGAATGTACTCCATGCTAAAGACACATCTGGGGGATGAAGGTGTAACGCGTAATGGATGTATTGTGTTAGCCTCCAACGCAAGCTCCCCCAGATTACAAAGATGTAACTTGAAATTGATAAATGATGGACTGAAAAGACAACTATCCACAACATATGGGTAACAAACATACCTAACCGGGTCGCGAACCTTCGCCTTTGTTCACCTCCCGTAGTCTTAACCGGGGTCTACTTCTCTGAATACAACTCGACGAGAAAATATAACAGTTGTGTATGGTAATATGACGCATCGACATAAAACTATTTCATTAATTTAAGGATGTTTAATTGAACTAAAATTGTTTAAAATGCCTCAGTCAATTCTAAGTATCAATACTGTATAAGAATATTTCTACCTTGCGACAAGTAAAGGGGTGAAGTGTGAACGGAGAGTACACGCAATTTTACCTTTAACACTTTACCTTTACTAATGAAAAAGTGTTTCATCAGGGCAGAGAACATTCGTTTCTTAACGACAAGTTTTCAAACTTAGGTTTTAGGATACAGAATTTTTTTTAGAAACGTGGGAATTAAGGGAAAGAGAAAACTTAATGAGTCTTTAAATGGATTTGAGAAGTTATGGAGTATATAAAATGGAACCCATTAGAAATGAAAAAAACTATTAAACGAATGCAGGTTGAATAATAATGATATGAATGAAGCCATGCTATATGAAATGAAACCATGAAGACTGAAACGATGTGGTCACCTGAAAGAGCTTAATTGTGAGGTAGCCCACAAGGTTTGTGAGTGGTTTTCATTACACTAGGTAGACTCAGGGAGAATTGTCAGAATCAGGTATTTGAAGATATGCAAAGAAAATGTCAAAAAGAGAATGACTGGAATGATAAATCTGTACGGAAACTGGGAAGGGCTTTTCTTCATCGCCCCCTCCATTTCCATACTCCCAACAAGGCTTTTTTCCATCGCCATATCATACAGTATTTTTCGTGCCTTTGATGGGTTGAGATAATCCGGAGATGAATATTAGAGGAATATTACATGGAAATTTAGTGCGTCGGAAAGTTTAATGACTTAAAAGTATTTATCTAACTACATGTAACCAGGATATATTGTACGCTCAGCATTTGTAATAAATTGTCTGACAAATAAAAAAAGAAAAGGTACCATGTATTTCCCGATTAAACTACTTTCGCCAACACTTCGCACTCAGTTTGAGGAAGGAGGATTTTGAAAAGAGCGTACCTTAAAGTATCCGAAGAAGCCCAGCTGGGTGTATCCGGCGGGCGGGTTGGTCTGGCCGGGGCGCGGCCGCTGCGGGGGGTGCGACGCGGGGAACTGCTGGCCGTCCGACTGCGGGGGTTGCTGCTGCTGCACGTTGCCATTGCCGCCCACGACTGCGCGCGCGCCGACGCACAAACATTTAATAGTGTTAATTACGGCACAGTTTTGTTTCAAAGATCATAAAAAACTATTATCACTCTGTAATTTGAATGTAATAATCTTATCATTCTTTTTTCAAAAGGGTAGGTTAGAGTAGTATGGTAGAATTGTAGGGTACATTTTGTTATTTAAAATCGGTTATAATTAAAATTATTTATTTCATTTCAGAGCAAGGTTAGTTCATATGATATGAGTAATTTTCATAAAATGATTTTCATTGTAATAATGTTAATTCATTTTCATGTCTCGACGGTATACTAGTAGTATTATCAGAAAAAATCACTGTAAGTCCATTACAAATTCGAATATGATATTCTTATATATATATATATATATATATATATATATATATATATATATATATATATATAATATTGTTCTGGCTTATGATGTGGCTAACCGTGGCCACATCACAATATTTACAAGAAATAAAATAAATAATTTAAATATAATTGATTGTCAATAACAAAAGGAACCCTACAATTCTTCTAACCTATAACAGACAATCATAACTTTCAATAATAACTAATCAGTTGTACACAAAAGAAGTTCTGTTTCTTTGAACCCATAACTTTTCAGCTATTGTGAAAACGGCGAAAAAATATGAAGAGTCTTAATAGTAAGTGTCCAAATAATAAATAATGTTAATAAATTAAGATAGTACTCATTGTAATGTTCAATGCTGCTCCGGTTCTAATGACTATTGTATTACGTGTAATTATCTAAGAATTACATTAGAGTTCTGCTAATATTTGCAGTTATTTAAAGTGTATTTTAAGTAATAATTTTATTAGCATTTCATCACAATCTTCAATTAACGTTATACTTCAAATTGCACTTTATTTTAAAATTCCAATATTAATTATGATAAAGAATATCTCGCGTTAAACCAAGTTTTATGAATAATGTAATAAGATTTCTGTGGGTATTTTTTCAGGGATTAAGTAAAACAGTATCACCTAACAACAAAATAGGACTTGGTATTATCTTTTAGTAAGTGGTTGAAAATACGACTTTATGCAACCCCTGTTGTGATGTTAGAATCTCGAACTCAGTATCCCAATATTTTTAAATAGAAATATGTGCAATTTTTAAATATTCCAATTATGGAAATTGCGATGTGATGTTGTCGGAATTACATGAAGAAATAATGAAATTAACCTTTGTCAACTTAAAATATTTATTTAAGGAGCCGGATTTCGACGGCTTTGTAGTCATCGTCAGTCTCGCTGTGTGTTACAAGTCGGGTGAACAGTCTTCTGACTTTTGATATTGGCTCTGTAAATAAATATATTAGGTTGACGGACACGACTTTCATTATTTCTTCACTGATTCCAATTGCTGAGATCATTTGTTACTTCGGATGGGAATCGAATCTTTCAAATGAAAAATATGAACAATTGGTTTAAACTGTTGAAATCATTATTCCCCCGGGTTTGGAAATGAATCCACGTGGATTACGCCGAGACTCTTTTATCCCTAATATAGTAAGAACAATGATTCAAACAGCTTCATGTATCTGTAAATTTCATTACAAGATGGCGGGCAGGTAGCTATCTGGAGTTGAAGGGATAACATAACAATAATCCTCATTTTACATAACCAAAACAATATTCTTAGAATTCCCTTAGCGAAAAGAAAACATCAGGAATCAAACGATACACAAACGTGTTTGATAAACTGCATGATGTCAATAGATCAAAGCACCAAGATGAGCACCATTCACAAGCTAAGACATTCACAATACACCACTAACAAACTAAGACATGCTTGGATTTACAAACAACTTTTTCCCCTTTTGTTTTAGAAATATTCAAAAATGAGAGCTAGCACATTGGTGACTTGCCCCCCTTTAATTGCGAAAGATGCTTCACTCACTTCCAAAGTCGTCCCCGCCTCTTTCCCTGGATGGGTTGTAGCCCGTCGAGACGTTCTGTGATGGGTTGACCAGACGATCAGGCAGCCCCTGTGTTTGCTGGGTGTTCTGCTGGTACTGATTCTGCTGCTGGAGCTGTTGGTCGCTCTGCTGCAGTTGGCCAGCCTGCTGCTCAAACTGCTGCTCGGCCTGCGCCTCCGACGTCAGGCGGCTCAGTGTACCTTCGTCGCTGTCCTGCACCACCTGCGAGTCTTCCAACTGCTGCGTCAGCGGCTCAGAGTTGGCGCGTTGTTGATATCCTTCCTGAGGGGCGACAACCATACGTGTGTTAGCAAGTGGAACAAATGCGTTGAGGGGAAACGTTTAGTAAAGTTTTCTACACATGGGATCGTACGCTGAAATTCGCGTAACTTACGTTTTGATTCTGCAGTAACCTCACTCTACCAATATTTTATTTGCAAACTTTCTATTTTAAGACTGAAATGTGTAAGCGTTATAATATACGAAAAAGTAAAATTTCCTAAAATAAAGTTAAATGTTCTCCCCCCCCAAAAAGTTGTAATAAAACTGAAATGTTTTAAACCATGATCTTTTGTTTTTCTGATTACTACATTTATACTAGATAGTTTCTTAGTTTGCTATATTTGCTTCTAAATTAGAACCGAACGTGAGTAACGATTGAACGTAATATCTATTTGAAGCATCATACAATTTTCTGAACTCGGTTTTAGATTTACGTTCCAAATGTGTTCGATGACTTATTGGTTTAGGTATATTCATGGTGGTCACATAGTCATAATCGACTTTGTGTCCTAGTGAATTTGTTATTCCAAAAAGACTGTACCTTCATTGTTTGCAAACATTTATTTTGCTAAGCATTTAATTGAGAATATTCATTTACCTCGCTTTCGTGTGAAGTTACAGGTTACAGTTTATTATGAAATTACAATATAGGTCTGTGAGAATCTCTGATTACTTTCAATGGGGTTGTGGCGTGTTCCAACAACGTGGAACAAGTGATTGAGACGTAGGCTATTCAGGATAAGAGTGCGCCCACAAGAATGTCAATTTTGTCTGTGTACTAACGAAAGATAAATTTACAATATATTCCAAGCAGAGTTGATATCAGGGCGCAACATACTTACTAGTGTTACTATTAATACATAGGTGTGTGGGGTTTGTATTATAAGATGAGATATGTATTTCATTAGGACGAACAAAACATACACACATTCATAGATAGTCCCTAGCTAATTCAATGAAAGTTTAATCTTTAAGACGTATTTTAAGTCGTAGACATTAAGACGTAAGATGCACAGTTTAAGCGAATAGTATCTAATGTTGATAAACCACGCCATCGTCAAACATTTCGGTTGACAAACTGGAATCTTTAGTTCAGTTCAATACTTTTCGCCCTGACATCCTGCCATTTAAAACGATGCTGTGTGCTTCGCGTCTCCTGGACAGACCACAGTCAATCTCTTTCTCACGTGAAGGCGCATCAAGAAGGGATGCGACATCGATAACAATGCTTATGTATACATCGATGAATTTATATGAATCAAAAAACAAAACATTCATGTTAAAAACATCCATAAATCGTCCATAAATCAATGTCAAAAATATTGATATTTATATAATAAAGGTCAATGTTTCATACACCGATTTATTGAAGTCAATGCTTTTTAACGTAGATGTCTTTTTTGAAGGCTCTATCGCATCTCCAGCACGAAGATTAATTGTTAGTGATTTTGGCGCGTCAACTACTAGGGTCGTTAGTCCCGTAAGTGCATGTTTTCCTCGGGAGGAGACTGTAGTCTTTCCCCACTGGAAGGTGAGATACTGCGCTGACCTACCGTCAGCCTGCGGGGTTTTCATTAATTAGGTATCTCCCACCGACAGGGCATCGCACAAGCTCTAAGCTCCCGACCGGTCTCCCGGCATGTGTGGTAGTGTAGTACATGTTTGTGTAAGGGGTGAGGATAGGACACGGAAGAGAAAGAAAAGATCGCGCGTGGTCAGTGGCTCATTTGTTATGGTATTGCTCTGGCATACGCCTGATGTCGATCGGAGTAATCACGGAAGACTACCGACCAGAGCAGTCGACCGCTAGAATTCTCCTCCAGCCATCCAGCGCAAAGAGCGTGGGCGCGGTGCGCGGGGGTGGGGGTACCTGGCTGCGTCGGTGGCGATGGTGTAACGTACCCAAGTTCGCAGGTTCAAACCCGATCGGAGCCGTGGATTTTTAAGGGCGAAAAAATCCTTCGTACGCCTTCCTTCGGAGGGGAAGTAAAGCGGGCTGTCCCATGTTAGTAGATTTACTTGCATGTAAAAGATCCTCAAGCCTAAATGACGCCTCTGAGCTAAATTCAAATCGCCTGTTTCTCGCCCAAGAAATACCTCCTTTCTCTCCTAGTTGGTGAAAGGAACGTTTCGAAATTTGCGTGGTCAGACGGAAGAGCGGGCCTGATGGCCCGAGTCTCGCCACGTAAAATAAGGCAAATTCAATTTAATTCAATTCAATACCTGGAGCTCGTTGACCTGCTGCTCCTCGTAGGCCGCGGCGTCGTCCTCGTCGCCCTGCCACTGCTCGTCGTCCAGCGGCGCCGTCTCCCGCCCCGCGCGATCCTCCTCCAGCTCCGCCGCCGCCGCCACCTCCTCCGCCTCCTCCGCCGCCGCCGCCTCCTGCTCCTCCTCCTGCCACAACGCCAGCACTCGCGTATCATACTCTGCATTCGGTTCAACGCTCAAGATATTAGACAAGGGATAAAATTAATTTTAAGAAAGTTACATAGTCTGGTTAACAACGTATACCATGCACAAACATTCATATTCTTACATGGTGCTTACTTTCCATTTAAAATGAAGAAAGGGGTAACCTTTTAACATTTTGCACATAATGTAAATAATTATATGAAATCGTTTGTTAGTGGTTTTAGTATGATTTTAACAGATATCAAAATGTTAACGTTTATTACGTGAAAACATAAATTACTCCCAATATGACTGCATTTCTATTTTATCACATATCTATATACATTGCGTATCTGTAGAGTTACTCATAAAATCTAACGGTATATTATTGTGAGGATAAAATGAAGCCAATTTTTAGACTCGCATATCTAAATCTGGACCTAAAATTTGACTGAATTGCGTTTCAAACCTGGGATTCAATTTGTTTAAGTGGATAAATGTTACGATGCGATAAAAATCATTAGGTTCCAGTCAATGCTACGAAATGTGTTTATCACATTTTACGGAAGTGCAGCTGTAGCAGTTAACCGCAAATTTTCTGCTGATACCGCCTCTTTATTTATAGGAAATTGTAATGAAACTGTAACAAGTTTTTACTCCTTGGTACAATTTAGCATGAAGTGGGCTGCAAATATTGATAACCAGTTCTGGCGGAGTATTTTCTGTGATAGCGGGGACACGAAGTTTCAATTTGAATTTTTTTCCTTCGATTTATTGCAGTACATTGTTAATTTCCTCATTTCTTGGAATAGTGAAAGCGACTGCAAACGAAATGTTTTATATGAAATATTAAATACTCTATAACTATTAAATAGCAAAAATAAAATTGTAAAACCATTGCAAAATAGCACATACGATTCAACCATTCTTTATGTTGAGTTCAGTTTTAACCCCGCATTATTAACAGAAAAAAACCCAAGGAGACAATTGCACATTTAAACTTGCATATTAAACTTCACACTTTCGTTTAAACTCCACCGCTATTCCACCGCTTCTCCACCGCTTCTCCACCGCTTCTCCACCGCTTCTCCACCGCTTCTGTACATTTTGTTCATGAAAGTCACCTGTCGTTTTCCCCAGATGTGAAATGAACGGTTATCTCTTATTCACTTCAAGGCGCTCTATCAAATGTATGTTATTGTCGCATATTTGTGTGCATTTTTAAAACATCATTCAGAGGTAATTAAAACAATAAAACAGAGCATAAATGGAAAGAATGATTTACGTAATTGATTTTGTAATCCAATAGAGAATGCAATGGGATAATATTTTTTTTATTTAAAGTCGCATCAACACGCATCTAGGTAATTAGTGACCACGATTGTATTTAATGGTATGGTAACTTTGAAAACGGTGATGATATGGGGCGAAAGGACGAACACAAAGACAAGAATGTCCGAGGTGGGACTTGAACCCGCGATCCTTCGCTCCGAGTTCGCTACGGCACTACTGCATTAAATATTTCGTCAATCCGGACCGGCATACTTTCTTATAACACTATATTTGGAACTTTTATATCAGTTAATTTTTGGCAGAGACCCTCATTTTCTAGTTTAAACCTAGGCTACTGAAATTTAATATTTATATTACTATTTTTCATAAATATTTGCGATTATGACGATCAAAATCACCATTGACATTAATTTCATTTGAATGCAAAACGTAAGGTTTAATTCCCACAAGCAAACTTCCTAGAACAATAGTTTTTACCTAAAAAGTTAACTGAGCACTGAATTGGAATACTGGACACTGAATTGGTAATTGGTTTAAAAAAAATTGATAACCTGTACAACATGAAAAAACAACAAAGTGTAACATTTTACGTAAAAAGTATATATTTAACAACTACAAAAGAAAAAAATAATTTAAATTATTTCCAAATAATATGACTTAAGGCACATAGCATTACTAACTATAATCAGCAAAAGGAAATTCCCTTTCTTAATAATCATGGTGACAAGCAAATAATTATTTTAATATCCGATCAAAAAAAAATTACTTCAAATTAATGGTTTTAGCTTGCGGTTAAATATGGCCTCATTTCCCACATATTTGGGAATTTATTTGGCTCGACACACTGAAGTCGTAGATATCAACTTACCCTCAGACACGCACAACGATATTGTCGCTACTACGTAAATCACAGAATCGCAACATCTAAATATAAAATTCTCTCTCTCACTGGCACAGAATTTAGTTTATAATTGATCAAACGGCTGTGTAGATCGTACTCGTGTAATCCATAATGTCTAACCTAACGAAGATTCTCCTAGCCTTCTCCCTCTTGTGAATATTTTTTTTGGTGAGGAGGATAAATGGAATGAGCGTTTTTGTGCATCTTCAGCCTTCTTCAGTAATTCAGCAGCATCTTCAGTAATTCAAAACTTCATGTGATAAAGAAGTTGAGGTACATTAGCTTGGCAAAACAATAGAAAATTTGATCCACTTTGTTCGCACATTTTCAAGTCAGCAACAAATCAATGGTTTGGGCTTGATTAGCACTAATAATCCTTGTGTCTGGCCAACTCAAAACATTCAATTCATTGTACGACAGAATACGTCATAAGTTGGACCGCTTTCCGCGTAACGACTACTGAAGTATAACTAGTGGTGCTACAGAATGGATCAGACTTTCTCATTTTCTCGTTTTTTAATTTATTTGGTTTTACACCTCCGTCTTCCCAACTGTTATCTACCGTCACCTAAAATAGATTTTTTCACATTTCCATAATTATTCGGTGCAAATGAAGCACTGCTTTTTGAATATTTTAGAAGAGTAAAACCTAGTCCTAAACGGAAATTTTCTACGTAATATTTGGAGACATGTTTGAGAAAATGTCGTCTCAGCGTTTCTGAAAATGCGTATTTTGAAGTTCATTTTCAACCTGTAGTTTTTGTGTTTTCGAAGAACGTTTTAAGAAATTATTTGAAACATTTCTAGTCACAAATGCAATCATGTACACAAATTGCTGGTAAGGTACATATTAATGGCGTGAAACATACGATAATAAATTGCATTTGTGAAATTTTTGAAAAAAAAACAAATACATCGAAGTGTTATTAATATCATAATGTTCAGTCCATTAACATTATTTGCTAAGAAATATTTTTTAAAATGTGGAAACATTTTTCAGAAAATTTTGAAAATATCTCAGGAGCTTCAAATAATATTCTACCCCCAAAATGAAATGAATTTATTTCAAAATCGCAAAGGTTTGAATAGCTTAGTGGTAAAGAACCCCCTTTTTCGCTACCACGGGCTCCCAAACTGTACTAATCCCTTTAAAATCTCGAAATCGGTTTTCCGCAGCCTTACATAATTTTCTCTATGGTACGTACACGGTAAAGTAATAATTATAATAATATATAATATAACAATATAATATATAATAATATATAATATAACAATATAATATATAATAATATATAATATAACAATATAATATATCATAATATGTAATAATATCAGGCCTTGGTTATTGAACTGAGCGACATGTCAGTATCTGTGGTCATCTTTGCCAATGGACTGATTTCTGAAGAACTAGCTTCATCGTTTGCAAGACTTGGCCTTAAGAACTGGCAATTCAATCAATGCAAAACGCTGTTCTCCTGAGAACTGCACGCATCGTGAGGAAGTTTTTATTGATATAACTTCGAGTTGAATCCTGACCGCCCGAGTTTGCAAGCGAAGCAGGCACCTTGGCTCTCCAAGGTGTCTGCTGTTGGACACTCGTTAAACAAGAGACTTGAAAGATGATGATGATGATGATGATGATGACTATAATAATAATAATAATAATAATAATAATAATAATAATAATAATAATAATAATAATAATAATTGCCGATCAGATGGCCGAGATCGCTAAGGCAGTAGTGCCGGTAAAAGTAGGATGCATGCATGCGTGGTCCTAGTCGGCCGATTCGCAAGCACAAAAATATAATAATTATTAATATTATTATACAATAACAACCATACAGCAACAACCGATATTTTCAGGTAGTCACTGTCGTATAACTTAACAATTTATCTTGTAATGTTCATAAAACACTGTCGCCACTTCCACGCAATATTTGTTTTTCAGTTGCCTATTCTCACACGATAGCATCGCAGAATGCATCCAACACGTGTTTTTTATTTCCCCGCTGCCCTTACGCCGTAGCCGCACAAGAGCCCCGAAGTGAGAGGGCAGGTACTCACCCAGGCGTAGTCGGAGGGCGCGGCGCGGGCGGCGGCGAGCGCCAGCAGCAGGCACAACGCGAGCGCGACGCGAGCCATGGCGGCGAATGCGGCGCCGCGCGCGGACGCGCCTTTTAACCGCGCCGCGCCGCGTCGCGCCGCGCCCCGCGCCCGCCAATCGCCGCGCGCGCCGCCACGCGACGCCCAATCGCCCCGTGACACACGCGCGCGTCCACCTCAAGACGCTCCCGACCACAAGACGCGCGCTCGAAAGTTGAAAGACAGCACTGAATCACGTCTTCATATCTTCCTCTTGTTACACCTTTGCTAAGCCTTTGGAGAGTCCTAGATTCAGTATCGAAATTGCTCTTAAATTGACTAACCTTTTGGTATAAAATCTGACTTCTCTATCTGTTGTAGATCTAATTTTATTGAAATTAATACATTTTATTAAAAAAATATTTTCTTTGTTGATCTTTGACCTACATGTATATATGATTCTGTCCTCGTTGCTCATACAGGTCATGGTGATATTCATTTTTGTAAAAGAAAATAGTGTAAACTGTATTCAAAATTTTGAAAAAAATGTTTTTTGTCATTGATCGGTTTTTTGCAAAAATAAATATATTACCAATACTAAATATTGTTCCCTGTCGCTATTATTGGCCACTTATCTAATACGAAAGGACGGAGATAAAACTATTATTTAAGTGATATTTCAGATTGTTAATCGTATTTGCTATACAACCAAAATTTCGTATTTTCTCCTCGTGTACCATGGGCTCTACAAATATTCACAATGGCCTCCTATTTATAAGCACTTTTTATAGCTTTGATAAGGTGTCTTAGGTAACATCTCCGTTCTAATATTTCCTATAGAAATATGCGTCGAACATTGTCAAATGACTTTTCAAGATCTGCAAATGCAAGATGCATTCCTTTGTTATGTTCTCTTTGCTCTTCCATCAATCGCTTTAAGGTAAATATTGCATCTGTACATGAACGACTTTTCCTGAATCCCGTTTGCTCTTCTGAGAGTACTTCTGCTACTAGGGAGTTTTAGCGCCAGACATAAGGAGGTATCCTTAAAATCTATTGATCACGTGACTAACGCCTTTATACGGTCGTAATGAACAACGTTCAGAAGAGTTTTAGCAATTGCGACATTGCGTTGTGCATGATAATGAAGGAAGGATTTCAAGTGTTGAACAGAGAAATTGCATAATATATCAAAGAGTGTAGGCTAGTCGTGAAACATTTAAAACACGTTACGAGTCAACAGAATAACAAATATACATTGTGCAGGGAGTTTTAGATTTTGTGGCTCTCCGCGATGAGTACGAGTCTGGAATTTTGAATCTGCTTTTCTTGAAAATATGGAAATATCTTAAAACAGTGTTCGTTATGAGCATAAGATATAATCTATCCCGAAGATAAGATTTGAACTTCCTTTTCGCGAATTTCTTTCCTGTCACCTCTTCAACAAACCCCGTTAATTCTTCCCAGCGTTGTGGAGTTGGCGAGGAATAATTGTAACGGCCTCACATACGAGAATCGGTTTATCAGAGTTTGTAAAATTCAAATTTTCGCGTTTTAGGCGGCCATTTTGCCGCATGTAAGGTGATCGTAGAGCTTCCCCCCCCACAGGCGTGCACTATTTATGAACGTATAAGTTCGTACTTTAGACTTAAGACAAGACGTTATGACTTCAAGGTCCGTCACGTGACTAGTTATGCATAACGCCGCTACCTTACGCATGGCGCTAAAACATCCTATTGTCTTCAGTCGTTGATTTAGAATTTTGGCGTATACTTTGTAGGTGGTATCTGACAGACTTATTTCTCGATAATTCTTTCGCTTGTAACCATTTTTGAGGTCTTATGTTGCCTCCAGCACACCAAACAGCTTTAAAACGTGTTCGTGCAACGCTTGACCTCCATATTTCAGTAATATGCTGATGATTTCGTTTGGTACGGGAGCTTTTCAATTTCTTGATCATTTTAAGGTGATTGTCAGCTATTTCCTTGCGATGCCGTTAACTTCTGGATACTTTTCTCTGTAGTTAACTACAGCGTTTTCTTTATCATCGCACCACAGAGATCGGTTGCGTTCTACCCACTTATCTATTCCTATGCTTTTGACATTTACACCCTCTTTTTTAGATATATTTAGGGACTTCATGATTTTCTACGCTAAACATTTCCTTCTATGTACATTATGTTCAATATTTGAACTAAATATTTCCCAAGATGCATTGTGGGCTTCTTTCCTACGTATTTTGAGCCTTTTAATTTCTTCTTTGTTTTAGTTACTACAGCAATGTTTATCTTTATCTCTTCAAGTATTCTAGTTAGTAAATATTTGTTTGCGGTTACCCTTACATTCCAAGTTGCTACTCTTAAACTATCCATTTATTCTTGTCCATTTTCGTTGCTTGATTTGTCATCATATCGTGATTGCTTCCGAGGCTTCTTCGGGAGCTGCAAGTATATTTATGTTGTACATTGACGGGGTGCTGACCCGACGCACAACACCCAAGCCGGAGGACCAGAGCTTTATATTGAATGTTGTCTCTCCCTTAGTCTGAGAGCCTGAGCCATAGCTCAAGGAGATCAGCCTGCCCCTTTTCCGCTCTTTAGAGAAGTTTTAGTTGTCAAGGCGAGGGATCCAGCCTACGTTTGTCCGCTCCCGAAAAACACGAGAAGGAAATATTTAGGATAGGAAATGAAATTTTTCAAGCTACTCAGTTCATCTTTTAGCTCTGAGGCGTGGAAGGATAAATAGGTGCGAAAAGAAGGAATTACTTTTAAGGGTAAGGGAATAGTTTCATTTTACGTCAGCGGGAAGTTCTCACGGTGCTAATCAATTAAAATCCTCGGACACTATATGGGCTATTTTGTAGGTTCTTAGTTCTCAATTTGTAGATGTTAGCTTAAAATATATTGTTTATTTGAAATACAGAATTCCCTTTCGTTCCCTTTGTTCTTTAAATAAAGATAAACCCGAAAATTTGTACGTTTTATTAATGGCTACGCAAACGCTTTCGTTCTCCTGGTCAAAAAGGAAAGATTTTGCAGAACAATAAAGGTTTTTCGTTTTTTAAGATAGAAACAATTATAAAATGATATTTAATACCCACAAACAAAAATTGTGTTACGTAGTGTCATTTACAAAACTAAATGACAAAGAGTATACAATTTTGGCATATTTAGTCTGTGCATTATATATGGGGTAAGGTCCCGACGTATTAGCAACGAAGACTGAATCATCCTGTATAAAATTCAGGACATGTGTCCTGAGAGGGAACGTCAAAACATCGAAAACAAGCTCTAAAGACACTCTTTAACGTATTTTTTTGTAATAAACTCCTTGCATATTCCGAATAGCTGAACCGCAATGAGCTCTGAAATTTTGATTGAAAAAAATACATTCTATGCAAAAAAGTTCATTGCTGAAACATATAAACAATTCAGTAACATGTAAATTGATTATTATTTACAAAAGAAATGAATATATTTGTTCAGAAAAAATCAATACACAAATAAACTAGTGATGCAAAAACGTACTTTCTCGCCTACACTTTCACGCTAAATTATGTGACAAGTACTCAAATTTTTGACAAATTGTTCAAGACCTTAATTCAAAATATATCTTTCAGGAGCAGATTACATTAACGGGAAATCGCTATCTTCAATATTTTAGTTGTAGGAAGTCTCCGACAAAATTTTGATCTTTTGCACCTATTGACAAATTAACATTTTTAACGAACATGAGACCTACACCATTCTCTTAAACGTCCTTCACACTTTTCAACAACAAAACGATGGATCCAGTTTTTGAAAATTTGCAAAATTTCCAAGCAGCTTAATGTAAAGTAATGTAAAAATGTAAAAAATGAAAATACCTATTTCAAATTCAAGGATCTGCGGTATCATCCAGCTCGATTGGGGAATATCAATTTTGGAGAAAATCGGCTGAACGGTTTAGCTGCTCGCGTCGTTAAAAGACAGACGGACGGAGAGAGAGAAACGGACGGAGAGAGAGAAACGGACGGAGAGAGAGAAACGGACGGAGAGAGATAAACGGGCGGAGAGAGAGAAACGGACGGAGAGAGAGAAACGGACGGAGAGAGAGAGAAACGGACGGAGAGAGAGAGGAACGGACGGAGGGAGAGAAACGGACGGAGAGAGAGAAACGGACGGAGAGAGAGAAACGGACGGAAAGAGAGGAACGGACGGAGAGAGAGGAACGGACGGAGAGAGAGAAACGGACAGAGAGAGAGACTTTTTGCCGCCATTGAATTTTTCGGTATGAAGACCCACAAAACATGGATTCTGGCTACACTACATGATAGAGAATATTCCCATATAATATTAGAAACTAGATTGATCCATTTTTTCTCTACCAGAGCCCTGTAGTATGAGTTTTTCTTCCTAAAATTCGCCGTTTTTTCGCGCAGCATTTATTAACATTCTTCCTACTATACAGGGAAAAAGAAAAAAGTACCTAATTTACACAATTTGACTGCTTTTCTTATTTATGGGTTAACTTTCCCATACATTTGTTGTGATGTGGTATCTGTGAGCGCGATGTTAGTGAAAAATGTGCTGTTTACAATTATTGAGTATTTCTGAATTACACACTTTATGCCATATCGTACAGTGATCGTGTCTTCTTTCACGGCACCAAGAGATGGAGAAACATCCATATTAAATGCAGCAGAACGATTAATAAAATGAAATGGTAGATTATATTTAAACCAACTTGTCAAGGTTCACAGCGATTCCCGGTGGAAAATGCGGGAGGAAATATTAGAACTCTAGGTAACTTTCTCGGTCTGTGATTAATTGACTCATACACATAATCGAAATGTACTCCTATTATGATTATGTATATTAATAAATTATTAATACTCTAACTACATTGTTTACCATCTAAATTCTTACGGAACTTTAATTTCCATTATTATGTCACAACTAGAATATCTCCAAAATTGACAAAATATAAAGAACTAATAACCATGCCAAGGATGGGAAGTTATGATGAGGAAGGGATTATCGCTCACGATGCGTAGCCGTAGATATGGTATGTTGTACCGT